TTTTTTAATATTTGAAACGCAACGACTGTTTATAATAAAACACATACATATTTTGTTTCTATATTTTAAATCACTTTTTTCTTTCGTAGATATAAATAAATTGAAAATTTATAATTATATGAATTTGACACTCTGCTATTTAACGTGGAATGACCTGTATTTACAGCAATTTTCATGAACACAATTTGGCGAACATAATAATTAATTATATAAATTAAATTGTATTAAGTTTAATTTTACACTATAAATTTTTAATTATAAAATTTTTATCTAATTTATTTATATATCTAATTGTTAATTACACATAATTTAATTATATAAAGATTTAATTATATTATATCGTCTAGTATATAGTAATTTTACATTAAGATATTAATGATATATTTAATTAATCGCTATATTTAATGTAGAAATAAGTTCATAAACTTTCAGTGATATCAATCCAAGTACTAATTCGAAACTTAATTTTATACTTTTACAATATAGTATTATAAACAGCTGTCAATGATGGAAATTCAATTTTTATATTACTCGGAAACGTAGAATAATGAAACTTTTATTAAAAAAGATTTGTAAACTATGCTCTGTTTGAAGGACTGAAAAATAATTTTTAAATAAAATTTATAATTTCGAACCTAAACATTTTTTATTGCGTTCGCCATCGATCAGTAAAGCGCGAAAACATAATAATTCAATATTATTCGTACAATAATTGCTTGCTTATATTATCTTAATAAATACAATTCAATGCATTTTTAGTAATATATGTTTTGAAATTCAATTTGTATTTACTACATATCTTCCAAATAATTCAGCAGCATTTTGGACTTAAGAGTCGGCAAGAATAAAGAAAAAGGTTCATTGTGTTTAGTAAAGAACTTTTAAAGTATAGAATAAATCATTTTCATGGCTAGTCATAAACAAAAATGCAAAACTAACTTCCCTGGAATACCAAAATTTTTAACAAATCATGTAATTTATGCCATGATTGCACATGTAATTACTAGTGAAGCTAGTTGAAATATTCTTTATTTAGAAATAAAATTTGTAAAAGATGTAAGGAGATTTTTCACGAATAGTTATATGTGAATGTCTCTCTTACAATATTCTGATGTAAAACCAATGCATTCTGACTTCTTAACTATATAAAGGCTCAATGTAATTTTGACATTGTTGAACTATGAATAGAATAATAATGTTATGGAATATATTTTTCAGTCCCATTGTAATTAGCATAAAATTCAGCTTTAATAATTTAAAGTGATCAGAATGAAGACAGTAGGCCTTGAAGAAGAAGAAGAATAAGAAGAAGAAACATTGAAGGAAGATAAATTTTTTAAAAATATTTTTCATAAATTAATAAGATAATTATAATTTCTATAAGTTTTAATTTATCGATACAAAAATTATGAAGTAAAGCAGACTCTTAAGTTGCGTGAATTCAATGGACAATTAATTTATTGTTCTATATTATTTTATTAAAAAATAACTTTGATGTTAAATGAATGTTATCGCAAATTAATGCGGATTAAACATTTTTTTAAATTTCGTGCCAATACTATTCATAAATAAGTTGTACTCAAATAATTTTTAGTGGAAATAAATTCGTCTTATTAAAAGTATAATTTAATAATTTAAGGACAAATTATGAAAACAATATTAAACCCAATTATATTTAAAAAAATATATACAAATTAATTAATAAAAATATATTTATATGTATTTTTTATGTAAAATATTTTTGTTATGTAAAAAATATTAATCCAACGAAAGATAAACAATGGTAATATAATTTATGATTAAAAAAAAAAATCTATAATCAATGCTAAATGCGGTATTAAATAAATAAATTTTTTTTCATCCTTGATTAATACGTATTAACAATTTTTATGAATTTTACAATTAATTTTCCATTTCCATATCAATTTGTTTCAAACCGCGCATATTTATAAATCTTATTATTCTGTAAAATTTGGTGCAATCATATATGTATATATATATATATATATATATATATATATATTGAATTACAAATAATGAATTTTAATTTATTTAATATTTTAATATAATAATTTTGAAACTTACTTAGCTTATACATTATCTAAATATATAATATTAAGAGTTGATGTGACATGTATTTAACGCAGTATAGTTTCATCTCAATCTAGTATAAATTTATTAATTTAAATGAGAAAGATTTAAATAAATTATTAATTAAAAAATAATGGATAAAATTTAATTCAAATTCAAATTCATTCAAATTCAAATAAATACTTAGTTGGGCAGTGGCTACATGATCCTATGCGGTAAAATAGCTAACAAATTTCTATAAAACATGTACAGTTATCGAAGAATCGCCAACTCATGCATATCTTTCGCAAAACCGAAAACCCAAAATTTACAGAAGCGACGCTGTTATTTTCTCTACATCATGATTAGTTTAAAACAAATCACATATAAGCCCAATAATAGCAAATTATGTATAATTATGATTAACAATATATTAAGCTAATTAAAAACTTAAATTTTCTTAAATAAAATAGACATATTTCATAATCGTAAAATGTATGTACATAAATTGTTTGAAATAATTTTCTTGTATTCGTTTATAATAAAAAAAATAATGAATGTATAAAAAATTTCCTTATAGAGTAATCTTATATTATTATAAAAATGTCATTCTTAATTGAATTAAACATAAGAAATCTGTTTTTTTTTTCACAATATAAATTCAACTTTAAAATGAATGAAAATATGTATTATCAATAATAGAAATAACGAATGTTTGTAAAACTATTTTACCTGTGAGAAAGTGTTTTATTATTGCAAAACCTTGAAACTATAATAATATCAGTTATATATATATATATATATATATATATATATATATATATATATGTATAAGTATTGCAATTTTTTAAATAATAATTTAGAATTAAGTATGGAAATTAATAAAAAAAGAAGAAGAAAAATGTAAGATTATATAAAATTGATAATTATGATATTAATAAATGACTTTTTGAGATAATACAATGTAAGTCAACAAGAATAAGTAATAACATTTATTTGCTTAAGACATTAAGATATTTAATAATATTGTGGAAATTGTGTGACGATTAATACATACATAAGCAGAAATTAATATAATTTGAATCTAATGCGTGTTTATTTAGTCGACTATGAACATTTGTTCGAGTGAAGATAAATAAAATAAATATTGTAAAAATAAGCTTTTAACTCACAATGTATTCTACATTCATTTCAAGTAAAAATGCAAATAGCAAATAAATCTTTAAGATTCTTTATAATGTGCTCGTTAGTTAAATATATTCTTTTATCTTGATAAGAATTTTTGAAGCGAGAACAATCTTTCACAAAACTATGCTTTATTTTGTAAAACTTTTTATGAATTATTATAATTGTCTATAAATTGCTAATTATTCGAAAATTCTAATTATAGCAACTTTGAATTTTAAATTGAATTAAATGTACTCACTCATTATTATGAAAAAAATGAATGAATTTATCGAAGAATGATTAGTATTCTTCATAATTATCGAGAAGATTGAAAGGAAATTTATAACAGATTATTTTGATCTATTGATCCAGTATTATCGTGTAATAAAAAATTATTAAGTTTAAACGACTATAAAATATATTTTTATTGCAAATGTAAATGTAATATAAGTGATGTGTATGTTCAAAAAGTTCATACTTTTGGAATAAACTTATTTAGAAAAAAAAATATTTATCGCCAGTTTCATAAAGTTGGTCTATCGTTCAAAATCGACCAGCCGACATTTAAGTAATATTAAAAATAATTTACAAGTATGCCATAATTCATATCAATCTGTCATTGTTGAACGTGACCGGCATTAGGATTAAACGATATTATGATTAGAATCTAAAAGAATGTAATACTAAGAATGAAAGAACACGATGATAAGAACAACTTGATGAAAAATCTGAAGAAAAAAATTGGTTGAATATATTTACGATACGAAAGGGTCTTTGAATATTAAAAAATAAGTGTGAATGGATGCTTGGCTATAGTAAGGCTTTCATTGATGATGTCCTTGAACATTAGTTACATTTCGACAGTATTATCGATAATTCGATCAAAAAGAAGGAAGGCACGGAAGTAAGGGCCGGGTGCTCGACCGGTCCCAAGGACCTTGAACAGTTCGATTCAGGACAACTTTCTCACGGCTCCGTGACAAGCCGCTCGAGCAAAAGAACGACTATGGAAGATCAGCGGGTCTTTTAACGTCAGGAATTCTGACGAAAGAGTCAAAAAGCTGGAGAGATGTTGGTGACCTCTCTATGAGAGTCCGCCGCCAGTCGTACGAACTCGTTCCCTTACGGATCGCTACCGTCGCTGCCCCGCGCGATCTTTCCTCACGGAGAACGAACACGAGTTCGGCCAAGAAGGAGAAAGGGAACGATCGGCCATCTAACTAAGATCCTCGGTGTTTTCTGTTTTCACCGATCTCCTTCCCCCCGCCCCGCCGCCGCCCAATCGCCCTCTCGTCGTGACCCCCCCACCCCCCCCCCCCCCCC